TGGGCCCCCCCGCCTTCTGACCCCAGCCCGGTCTGGGGCGTCTGGACAGGACAGAGCCGCAGCGTCCTCCCACCCAGCAACGGCTCAGTCTTTCTGAAGGAAGCCAGCCCGAGGATGGAGGTAAGGGAAACCGATACCTGCTGGCCCGGTGGGCTGCTCTGAGGCCAGCAGGGATGAGAACAGGCCCTGGCTACCCCTGTACCCCGGCATCTTAGACAATAGGTGGCCAGAGAAGGCTGACAGCCAAGTCCACAGAGGCCTTGGGCAGGGGTGGAATAGGAGGGCAGGGCTGGGCGATAACGAGCCTCAGCCCTCATTCACCAGCAGCCCTCCCACCGCGCCTCACACACGGCCAAGCAGCAGGAGCACTGACCGTGAGTGGAGGACGCCATCCCGACCCCACATCCTCCTGCCCCCTCTGAACCCATGGACCAGCAAACGAAGAGGGACACTGGCCTTTCTCAGAGAAGTCTCTGAGGAAAGAGCCCCTCAGCTGGCTTGCCCTTCACTCACTCTGGAGGGGACTGGGGGAGAATTGAGCTTTGTGTCAACCTGAGGCATAGGACCATGTGGACAGGCCTGCGTCCACCTGCACTGGCCTTCTGGTAGGTGCTGCCTCACTCAGGAGCGCCCGCGGGGCTTGGTCACACCTGAGAGCCACAGGCTGCTGTGACATGGTGGAGGGACACAGGGAGACAGGAATGGGGGCTGTGGGGGTGGCAGGCCTCCTGGGGAGTGCCTTCCCACTACCGAACCCGTTTTCAAGGCCAACTGGAGGTTGAGGGCGGCTAATGAGATGGGCTGCCCAGCACAGGGCACAGTGAGGCAGGTGCTCCGTGAACGTCAGCTCTCTCCTCCCTCTGCCCCGGCCCTCTGCGGGCACAACACTGGCTCCTGCGGCTCACCTGGCAGGAGGAAGGTGGTCCTGGTGGCAATGTTGATCTCCTGCAGATGCTCCAGGGTCTCCGTGTGGAAGAGGCGGATGGAGGAGCCGGAGGAGAAGGCCATCCACACACCGCTGCCTGCCTTCACCATGTGCGTCACGCTCACCGCCTCATCCTGGTGCGCCTCGAAGCTTTGCTGCGCACAGAGGGAGGGGAGGGGTGTTGGTGCTGGGTCGGGGCCTGTCACCAAGCCCCCAACAAGCCCCCACTCCTCCCTAGGTCTGCTGTATCCACATTCTTCAGTACAAGCCACTCTGGCCTCTGCCTGAACCAGAATCAAGGCTGAGAGGAGACCTCAGAAGCCCAGGCAGGGCTTCACAGTGGTGGAGGCCTGGTCTGAACTGTTTGCCAATTCCCATGGTGTAAATACTTCTACCATGGCTGACTGCAAGCTACCAGCATACAGCACTGAACGGGAAGGGGCAGCAGGACAAGACGTGCACACATCAGCTCTCACAGTTGACAGGACCAGGTACCGACCGGCATACGACCACGACTCCTTTCGGATCACCACCTTACAGAAGGGGGGGAAGTAAGTGGAAGAAGTAGCAGTGTCTGTGCAGTATTTACAGTTACAAAGGCAAGGAAAGGGACTACCGGGGAAGGAAGCTGCGGAGTGAGCCACAGCCTCATCTTTCACAGCACGGAGTAGATAGCTGATGTCCAAAACTGATAAATCAAGAAACAGTGGAGTAAACAAATTAGCGTCATGAGGAAAGTGCCAGGGGGAGTTAACGACAGGTAAAAAGTGTTTTTTCCAGGAAAAAAAAGGGGGGGGGGGGGGGGAGGCACAGCCTTTCAGGAGAAACCGTTCTGTGCTATTTAATTATTTTCACACAGGAGTACATATAATTTTTATCTTCAAACAAACATTTGTTTGTTTGTTTGTTTGTTTATTTAATTAAGAGAAGATTCAAATGGCCAGGCTAGACCACTGCAGGAGAAAGCCCATGTTTCTTAACTGGGTATGCAGGCCCCTGACTGCCCTTACTTCAGGTTCCCTCTACTGCAGGCCAGTCAGAGCCTGGGCCTGACAGGTGCTCCGAGCCACGTGGCCACTCCTCTGCCCTCACCGCGTCCTGTCCATAATGTGCACTGCCCGCTGTCCTTCAGCGTCTGGAGACTACTTCAGAGTGATGTCCCTATTCCAGGAAGCTTGGCCCAGTCGACCGTGCACTGCCACCTCCTCCCGAGTACAGCGTCCTGCCCTCTCACCTAGGGGCATCACACCATCTGTGGTTCTGAGACAGGCTGCAAGGACAGAGAGCAGGCCTTAGGCCCTTCTATATCCCCCGTGTGGCCCAAGGCCCAGTGCGCAGTGAAATCTGGCCAACAAATGACAAACGAATGGATACCTGAATTCCACCGCTGACGTGCAGTTGTTACTCAGGCGGACAACTCAAGCCCACCAGCCCAGAAATACTGTAAATGCCCGGCCACTGGGGATAGTCAGAGAACTCCGGTGTATCCACTCTCTGGACTATCCCACACCCACTTAAAGTCGTGCTTACAGACACCACGTGATGAACAAGGAAAAACGCAACTGCCACAGTACGTGTGTGTGTGTGGGGGGGAGCTGTAGCCACACTGGGGAAAGAAGAATAGGAAAGAACAGCCCTGAGTGCTGCCACCATGGGGTGGGGACGTGTGCTTGCCAGAGAGCGACAGTGAGAGGACAGCGACTGAGAAATCACCCGCCAGGGGGATGGCCATGCTGCAATCCCGTCTCCATTCTCTTCTTGAGTTTTTGTCCTCTCATGCACATGTACCCGGTGTGAGTTTTAAGTCACCAGGTCTAGGATTTGAACTACAGTCAGCCTGTGGGAGTTCAGTACCTTAACCACCATGCAACCCGCTGGCCCCAGATTTTCCATTTTTCCTATATAGAGTATGTCTTGGGTGGAAGCCTCAGACTTCAGGAAGATGTTAGAAGAGAGTATGTATTTGCAATCAGACCTGCTATCAAACCTCATTTCCTTGACAGTGTCACAGGCCTGGGCCTCGGTGTCCCCGTCTATAAGTGGAGGTTGTCATGTGCATCACAGGGACCCAGGTGGGGAGAGTCTGGCACAGGCCTGCTTAGTAGGATTTCATTCACTCGCAGATGTTCCTGAATCCCTACTGTGAGCCTGGCACGGATCTAAATGCTGCCAATACGGTGGTGGGCAAGGTGACCATGGGGCCCACTCTCAGGGAGCAAATGCCCCCAGGGCAGGGGACCAAAAAAAAAAGAGATGACTTCAAATAGTGATAACCACTGCACAGAAAACAAATAGTAAAAGCCACCAAGATTGGGTGGTCAGGGCAGGTCTCTTGGTGGGGCACGTTTTGTCAGAGAAATCATGTGGGGATTGAGAGAAGGGGAGGGCCCTGCAGGCAGAGGGCCAGCAAGTGCCAAGGCCCTGGGGCAGAAACGAGAAACAGAAAGAGGCTCTGTGGGGGCCAGCACGGTGGTAGGACAGAGGTGGGGCCAAAGGGACAGGCAGGACCAGAGCACACCAGGCTGCCCTGAAGTGAAGAGTTTAGGGTTTTTTTGGAGAGGTTTTTGCTATAGGGCACGTGCGCTCGCCAAACAGACAGACAGAGACAGAGAGAAAGAAAGTGAGAAATCACCCCCCAGGGGGGATGGCCACACAGCAATCCCTTCTCCTCCATTCTCCTCTCGGGATCTTGGGCACGCACGCACACGAGCCCGGTGTGAGTTATAAGCCACCAAGTCCAGGATACGAACCGTGGTTGAGTACGTGGGAGTCCAGCAGCATAGCCCCATTACACTAATTGCTGGTCCCGAGTTTAGGTTTTCTTTAAGTGCTGGTAACTAACTCGGCCAGGTTACTTTTTAGACAACCGTGTGGAAGGAGCCTGGATGCCGAGTCTGTCCCAGTCGGCCTGGTGTGGCTTAGCAAGGCAGTCAGGGTAACGCGACTTGGTTTCTCTTGCCCTGGGGGAGAGTGGCTCCAGCCCTGACCTCAGCTCCAACTCCATCCTGGCTCAAATCACTAACAGGTTTCCTCCGAGAAAAGGAAGCTGGCAGGGCGGGCTGCCCGTGGGGAACGAGCCGATGAACTCTGTGCTTATTCCTGATCAGAACACAGCCCCAGGAGGGCCGACCATGAGATGTCCAACGAAATTGCTTTTCCTGAGTCTGCCCCTGATGACTGGGCTTGGTGATGCAAGGTAGTAAGGAGGGGTGGACAGGAAAGTCCAGGGTCCTCTGCAGAGGGGAGGAACAGGGAGAGGGAGAGCGAGGTCTCTCCTCTCCCCAAGGGCTAGGCTGCTCTTCCCCTACTGGTCCGGGAACAGAAGCTGCAGGTGGTCCCCTCTCAGACAGAAAGCTCACATGGCAGGGTGGGGCCCTGGAGAAGAGGACAAGTCTCCTCTCGGGCTGAGAAATGCCTCCTCCCTGAGACTGGGGACTCTGACTAAGGGGTCCTATGGGGAGGTAGGAGTCTCAGTTCCTCTTTCACAACCACAACCCATAAAGGCCCAGCTCATAGCCTCTGATTCCCCAGAGGGAGGCCCAGCTTCCTCACGGCCTCCATGAAGCCAGTCCAGTCTGTGCAGTATGGAAGGAGGGGCAGTTCCATCCCTCCCTCTGACTCTTCATCCCCAGCTCTGCTGCCAACATTCCTCGGCAGCGCTAGCTTTCACTCTGCTAGAGAAGGACACTCCTTCAAGGAACCCTGCAAGGCCTGCAGGACGACCCAGGAGGACTACACTGGCTCAGGCCTTGCGGGAAAAAGCAGATGCAAGACCGTCAGCCCTAATCACAGATGTCAACACTGAGGCCGGACGGGACCCCCCCAGTGTCGGCCTTCGGTGGGCAGATGGATGATAGTGGAGGAAACTCCACAGGCTCTGTCTGCAACGCTTCCAAACACAGCATGCACACCCTTGCACGCGAATGTGCACACAGGCGTGCCAACAAACGCATCTGCACGCTCACACACGTGCAGCCCACCTCCTGCCAATTCCCGAGGAGAGGTCAGAAGCGTTTCCTACCTCGACAAAAGCCAAATGCACTGAAACCCAGAGGCCGGGGACCATGGAAAGCCGCACCTGAGTTTGCAGCCAGCCAGCCCTGCGTGCTGCTGTCAGAATCTAATTAAAACAGCAGTCAGCAGTGGAAACTCAGGCTCATTTCTCCAGAGGCATGGCAAGTCTGTCTCCAGACCCAAAGGGCTTTGCGAAAGGCTTGTGCAGACCTGCCAAGCCCAGAGGGGTGAGGCAGGGTGGGGGACAGCAGGAAAGAACAGGAAGGACGGCAGAGCCAAGCAGCCCCCCACTCTAGCCCCTCAAACCTCGGTGACCGCTGGCCTCCAGCTGGCCGAGCCTGTCCCCAGGAACCCCTCAGACCAGAACTCACAGGGCAGGCAGTCTGCTAGTATCACGGGTCACAGAGGGGACTGAGGGACTGAGTCAGTACTCCGAGGTGAGGGAAAACAGCAGAGGGCCCGTCCTTACTGTGCACTGGGCTCTGGGTTGACGAGTCACATGGCCAGTTTTGTTTTCCAAACATGGGGCATTCACGACCCAGAGAGGCACCCAGATCTGCCAGGAGAGGCTGCCATTGCATCAATCTCAGGTCTCCTCTCAAGTGGGATGAGGCGAAAAGCTGCCCACTTGGCACTAATCCTAGGCCAGGGTGCCACGGCTCACCTCCAGACCAGTCCCCTAATCCCTGGCCAGCCTTGGAGGCCCAGGCATGGGGGCCACCATACTCTCTAAGAGTTTCTGTTCTCCTCATGCCTGATGAAGGCCCCCTGCCCCCTGCCCACCTGCCTGGGCACATCCTGCCCCTCCTCTGGGCTCCGGAAGGCCTGGTGCCCCCCAGTCCAGGCAGAGTTATGCATTGGTGCTTCTGTCCCGGGAAAGGCTCTGTTAGGATTCCATGCTAGCCCAGCCATCTGCAAACAATGCCCCTCGGGCTACATCCAGCCTGCCGCAGGTTTTGGTAAATCAAGTGTTATTGGAATGCAGTGACGCCCACACGGAAGGCCAACCCTCTGTTCCCGCACCTGGGAACACGCTGGCCTCGCTGTGCATGCCTGGTCCTTGCTTAAGGATGAACGGTCTGCCAGGGACTGAGTGAATCCCAAACTTTCCCCAGTGACTCGGAAACGGCGCAGGGTGACA